TAATTAAAATTTAAATAGTATTTGAATTAGGCAACAGAATATATGTCAAAAATGTTTACTTTTTATATAAAATATCATAAAGGAACGCAAGCAAAATTAAAACGAAGGTAATATTACTAATATTTAGTTGCCTCTGAAGTTTTTATCTAGGTGTATAGAAAATATAATAAATCTAAAATAGAAAATGATTAAGAAAATGTTATTTCTAATTTTTAACTGGCTATAAATTATATTATTATTCTTTCGGCCTTTGATTAAAAAAAAAAAGTATAAATATAATATACAATTATATAGAAATTGATGTCAGAAATAAGGAATTACAGTAGAATTTATAAACCGACGAGTAATCAAGATGATACATTTTTTATAACTAAGCTAAAGTTTTATGCAAAAATGATCAAGGATTATCGTGAGAACATACCTGTTGGCTGTCTTTAAGTATAAATAAAATGTAAGATTATCGCCAAAGTCAAGCTTGAGGAGCGACGACCACCAACATTCGACAATTTAAAAGTATTTAAAAAAATATTGATTTCTGTTTTAGTTTGTTATTTTTCACACAATTAAAATCATATACATTGCATAGAACTATGATATTTAACTACGTTACTTCGGTACGAAATTGTCACCAATATGGCTAAACTTGAAGGATAGGTACGTAATAAGGATGGACAATATAAAAAACCAATGAACCCTCACATAAGCTTGTTCGGTAAAGTAAAGTTCTTCACAAATCACAAGAACGGCTCTTGTCAGTGTTCCGACAACTGTTATCTATTTATTTTTGCGGTACTATTCATTGATTGATAAAGGACCACGGTATAGAAATACCGGGTTCTTGCCACCCACGGAATTATCCATAGACACCTCATAACCAGTTTTCGACAAATCTATATTTAGTTTTTTGGGTGTTACTAAAAAACCAACTACCGTAGATACTTCATTACTTTTTTTTTATACTTTAATTTCATAGGATGTTTCTATCACCATTTTCTACACACCATTAAATTTTCTATTATGACTCTTTTTGAACTGTTTTTAGGCATAGGAAAATTTCGGTTTTTTTAAATTATTGTCAATAAAACATTTTTTGCTCGGTCAAAATTCCTAAAAATTGAATACAAGGTTCCTCGTTGCTCATGAGTTTTCCCGTTTTAAACAATATAAAAAGTTTATAGGAAGTCTAGCTTTTTTAATGAGCTTTTTAAGTTAAAACTTTTTGACATTGGATTTTTCTACTTTAGATACTTGGAAATTTTCACCAGATATTCATTTAAATACAAAAATACGAAATTCCTCATAAGTTATAATAGCAATTGAAAAATGTTAATTATTCATAGAGGCACGATTTTTTTTTAAGTATTTAAACTATAAAGTTCAAATGTTGGCAAGTCATCGAAATTGACAAATTAGTTTGTACTTAGTTAAAATAAATTATAAAATGTTCAAGGATTCTTAAAATTAGGTTCATACTATAACCAAAAAATATTTACACACAGTATTTTAAAATATATTTTAATTTAAAATTTTTATACGAAATTAGGTATTTAAAAGATGAATAACAATTCTAGTAGTTTTGTTGTATCTTGGTATCTATTATATTTTATACACACAATTACATTTTCAAATGCGATTTTTCGGTAAAAATTGATTTAACTTAATGTAATATATTAGTATACACCAATGTAAATTTGTGAAATAAATTACTTGAATCCCATCATAAAATTAACTTAGTAATATTATAGGCTAACCGACAGAATTCTCTCAGAATCGTTTTTTTGCAGTATACAATAATTGTATTTAACGGAATTCAAATTTAACATATCCATTATTACCAGTGTTCGGAACGTTCACTAAAAAACTGAATTGTTACACATTCATGTTTTTTTTTTTTTTAATTAACTCATTCGTATGATTTGGAAAAATGAATGATTCATTTAAATTATTTTATTTTAATGAACCATTTAAATACTTATACAAGATCATAAAAATCATACTGTTATTATTTTATGTCGAGCCATGACGGCTTGAATTTTAAGTACCTATTTAATTTTTATAATTCGTAATAAAATAAATATAATAGGAATATTATTATATAATATTACAATATTAATATTTACGTATTACACATATGGTAAATAAATTGCACTACCTACCAACCACTGTCCACTACCTACTCAATTCAACCCCCTCCCACCAAGACTTACTGCCTAGTAAATTGAATAATAAATTTAAGACTTTTGAAATAAAATAAGCAATGCAGTAACCTATTCAATTTTGATTGATACCAATTTAATTTAGAAGCAAAAGGTAATACAGATTTAAATGTTAGTACTTTTCTTATTCCTTTAATTTGTATACTAAAAAAATTGATAAACATGGAAAAGAAGTAGTGTGGATGATTTTGTGTCCACGTTGGAAACATTTTAGTTGGAAGCCACCAATCCATACTACACATTTGTTTGTTGAAGTCAACAAGAAAAGGATGAGTGTTCATAGTAAAACTTTATGATAGAAATGTTTTCTTAGTCTTTACCCAGCATTTCACTAATAGGATAGTTTGAAATATAAGAATAATATTTTGGGCTTTTTGAAAAATTCAATTTAACAACCCCCCCCCCCCCCCCAAACGATATAGTTGTACATATACAATCAAAAATATAACCAACAACTGGACAAAATTAATGTTTGTAATTAAGTATAACCCCATTATTCAAAATAATATCCAATTTGAATCTACCAAAATTAATAATTTGAAGCATGTACAAAATGATAAGAATTAAAATTAAACACTATCTATATATTATATAAAGCAATATATAATTTATATTCAAACATTTTTATCCAATGATTCTTCACAATATTTTGTTTGCTCTATTGTTTCTAATGTTTTATTATTTATAATAATATATATTAGATATTCATCAATTATATCAGACCACAAATTTAATGATAATTATTCATAGACAACTGAAATTTAATGTTAGGTAACAGAGTTGTAGCTATCTACATAAATAAAATAATATATCAATTGTGAAAATGTTGTGTTCCCTTTTGTACCACGGCTTCCCTGACAAATATTGAAGACGCACAGTTAGGATACCTCTAGGTAATATCAAAATATGTTGAAGGAATTTCAAATGGAGTATTTATTTAAGCAACTACATCGGTTGTTTAAATAAAGTTTCATGTAATAATTGTTATTTAAAATGTTTATGAACTTATAACTATATTTAAAAAAAAAACCTTTATTAAATTGTTAATTGTTACAACACTTAATTACACAAATAGAAGGATATTGGAAGACGAGCTAATTTATCTCAAAAATTGTATCACAATTTTGAATATAAATAATATTGAATATGGACCAATGATATTAAAAATTTTGAAATGTATTTTCAGAATTTAGGGACAATATTTTTTATAAATTGAAAGAATATAAAAAAATACTCTGATATATAAACTAAAAAAAATATTTTTAACTAAAATAGAATGAGAATCATATTATTATCTATACACTTGTGTATATACTTATAAATACAATAAACTAACAATACAAACTATGATTTAATTACAAACTAAAGGTAGATAAACAACATTAGTAGATAGGTATAGCCAAACGATTTAAAAATCTAAATAAAAATAAATCATTATTACCATTATGGCATATACTATATTTTATATAATCAAAGAAAAAGATAAAATTAGCATCATTCAAATTAAATACATAAAGCACAATTATAGGTTTATGTACTTATAATCTGAATTAATAACATTAAATTAAAAATTAGAATTTTATCAGTTTAATACAATAATTTACATTAAACACAAAAATATTTGTAATCGCTTTTCACAGTAAAAAACTATTTATATACCATAGACAATGTTACAATTTTATATTAGAGGTTGTTTAAAATGGAAAACATTATTATAATGTACCATAAAAAATACAACTTCAATTGTAGTTAACAAGTTATTTTCTGTAGCTAAAACATTTTATTCTATTTTCGTTTTTGTGAATAAATAAGTTATCTATAATATATAATATTATGCAAATCTACTATGACATTTAATATGTTGGAAGCAGATAGGAAATAGTGATAAAACACTTATATAATGAGAGCGTTCAATTAAAAAAATCAAGTGATATTTCTAATTTTACAAATAAATACTCTTTTCTGTAAATGTTGTACTATACTATAATGTCACTAAAAAAACACTTCAAATTAAATTTTAATTTTAGACTACTAAGTTAACAAAATGTCACTTGATGTCTTTTAATAGAATACCCACTATATACTAACACACAATACCTTGTACAACATTAAATTTAGTTAAAATTAATTGTGTAAACAAAAAGATAATTTATAAATAAAATGAACAGCCCAAGCTTTCACAAAATAACACAAAATAAAACAATTTTTTTTTTATATTTGATTTAAATTAACATGAAAAAAATTAAAATACCAACAAGACTTTAAGAATACCGATAAATATACACTTCTTTCCAATTCAAATCTATATTATCACAGTAGTGAGTACCCTGAAAATAAACTTTAATTTTTAATTTAACTGCTTCGAGAAAAATGTATTTTAATTGGACGATGCGAGTTCTAGGTTTTCTGACACAGTTTTATTTGACTAAATACTAGACATTAATCTTTTTAGTAGGTATATAATATTTATATAGAATAATGAGCAATTTTTGAAAATGTATATTATTCTAAGAAGGATAAAACTTATGATAAGAAATGATTACGTCATGTAGATGATTTTTTTCTCGTCAACAAAATTGAAATAATGAAAATAAGGCCAAAAAAGCCTTAAATAATTATAACTCTATGAATAATTAAAAATAAAATTAATAATTATATTCATGACATAAGATATACAGCGAGGACATTGCTACTTATAAATTACAAATGTATTAATTACTAAAAATATATAGTAAATAAAGCTACAGTTGTTCATTATTTTTAAATTTCTGACTTATAATTATTAGTACATAAACATATATAATATGATCTATGGTAGTTAAAAATTTTTTAAGCATGTTTGTGTAAATGTGTTGTATTTTGTATGTATACTTAATTTTATATCACAGATATATGTGACTAGTTCACAACTTTTCTGTGTAATCCCACCAGTCTTTTTCATAACCTTCGTGAACATGCTCTAGCAACACTTTTCGCCGACTTTCACAGTAACTGAAATAAAAAAAATAAGATTAAGCTATTAACTGGTGACGTCAGTAAATATATTGGTAAAACCAATGGTTGGTAGAAAAAACCATGATTACAATTTATAAGGATTGTACATATAATTAAGAATTCACACATTTCATTAGGAAATTCCTTGTTTTGTTAAACTTTTACGAGTTAAAAAGTGTATTTTTTTACTTTTATTATTGATCTCAAGCCTGGCAATTTAGGCTAATAGCTGTTTAGATGGGGAATGGTTAGTTTAAACAATTTTTAACTAAATATCTCAGGTGGTCATTCACATGGGAGCTTGGAATACCGGCCAATACGTATACTCAGAGCGTGTTTGCAGCTGAGTGTAGACTACGCCACACCAAGCCACAAATGTATTTTTAAATATGGATATTATTCTCATAAACTTTAATTATCAGATAATCATAATTTTTTTACTCATCAGTGAGTAAAACTTATGTTTTATGAATTACTCTTGAATACTGTTTGAATTTTAGACTTTTAGAATTGTTCTTGGTAATCTTTGGGACACAAAATATTAAAATCAAACTGTCAGAATTGCCAGATTAGTTTGCATGATAGTTGCATATTACTAAAGTAGAAGAAGTGCAGAGGGTTATTATGGCTTTCAGCACTAGGGAATGACCGACATAGGATTTGAACTGGCAACGGTGATTGTCAACACTGACGCTTTAACTCAATCACACCATTCCCTAATATATTAGGTAACAGAATTTAAGTAATAAAACTTTATATAACATTTTTATAAAATAATTTACCTGAGAGGATGTCAGATCACTATTTGTTTTCTCTCTCAACGCAACAATAGCAAATTTACATTTAGCAAAACCAACCCTATGTTATTATTTTAACACTAACTCCTATCAAACTTTAAGTTAAGAACACTTTTTGTTTCTTTATAATTAACTTAATATTTAGATTTGTTTGATTTCAGTTTGTGTTAACTACGATTCTCTCATTTATAAAAATCTGCACTACAACAATCATACACATTCAATATAAGTTATAAAAATCTCATACATTTTCCTAGGATTTACTAATAAAAATCAAATAGTTAAAATTTGAAAACCATCTAAATATTAAAAAATCCTATTTTTAATTGACTAAAATGTTTATTACCGATATTTATCTTGAACTTTCTGCTTGATGTCGGCTAAATTTTCTGAAGTGATATCTCTCTCTAAATATTCTGACAGAGTTTCTGTAGCACTTTCCAAGTCTCGTTGGTTATCCTAATGTTACATAATATTTTTAAATTTAGAAACAACAATTAGATTGATAAATCTATATAATTGATTAGATTCACCTCAAAAAGAACTGATTGATTATTTTTCTTCAAATAGTATGCAAACACATACGTGTACATGAGTGTTTGTCTACATTGACATAATATATCGACAGCTTTTTTTAAAAATTGTACCTAAAACATAATTCATAGTTATTATTTTTATTTATAAAATTTAATGAGTAGTTAAATTACTTAAAAATAAAAAAAAATAAAAAGCAATTTTATATATTTTAAATAAAATAAAACCTCAATCCATGACATATTATGTTGTTGCATTTCTTCCATTTTTTCTTTAACGCTAGCATAAAGCTTGTGTTCAAACTTAAGTGATTGCATATGATTCATGTAACGGTTACAGTAGAAAAGATACCTCTGTAATGCGGCTCTGGATCTTTCTTGAGCATCTCTGGCAGCTTTAGCTTCTTCTTCATCATACCGATTACAATTATACCTATATTATATAAATAATAATATTAAAATTACTTTAATAATATAAAAGGTGGGTCAAACTCAAAAATATGGCCTCAAACTAAACCTTCTAATAGATTGTTGAACATATCGCACAGTCAAGTTCTGTTCAACATCAAACCGAAACCAAATCAAACATTTTGTTTAATACCAAACACAGTTTGAACTGAGTTGTCTAATTAAATAATGTATCTAACTTTTAAGATTTATGTCAAACCAAAATATTAAGTATAAAACATTTTTTGTTCAAAACTTGAATGTGTTCTATTTTTTTTTCAAACTTTTTGTTCAGGTTCAATTCGGTTCGGTTATTTTAAAACTAGATTTTACTAGATTTTACTTTCAAACTACAAATACGTCGACTTATTCTTCAATAAGTCAACCTATGGTCAAGTTATAAAAAATATTATTTTTATAATTTACCATGAAGATCCATGAGGTTCCCATGGGCCAAGGCATACCCAACAAAAGTCAGTTTTGCAATTTTGATTTTTACAAACCATATGGTTGCAACCACCATCTTTTTCTATAGTTACATTACATTTAGGACATTCCTGAAAGTGTAAAATTGAAGTTTAATTAAATATCAATCAATTAATTATAATATACAATATAAATAAATATATTGCTATTTAAATGTTTTAACAGTATACACAAATTGGTAATAAGAATGTAACTAAACAATTACCTCCCCAAAAAAATGAAATTAAGAAAGGATAGAGAATAACAGAAATTCTTAAGGACAACGATGGAGAGTAGAAAACAATAAGACAGAAATAGCGGGAAGATGGTAATAGAATATTTTTTCACCAAATACTTGATGGTGATAATCCCAAGAATTTTGATAAATACGAGAAGGACTTTAAGATTATGTATGTGAGGCCCCAACCATGCAATAAACAAATTGGCTAAGGAATCATAAGTAACCCGGAGAGGGTTAAATCTATGGTAGGCTACTGAAATGAGTTTATGAAGTAATGGTCGAATATACATAAGCAATACAATATGATACCATTAATAAAGAAAGTATTTTCAACATACAAGAACATCTATCACAAAAACTCATCAGTCTAGTTAAAGTAAGCTTAGGACTGTATTTACAATTTTTGAGCCCTGGGTCAACCATATTTTAAAGCCCCCCTTTCCCCACCAAAACATAGATCCACTTTTTTGATTTTTCTCAGCACATTTTTAGTTATAAATCTTTATGGTTATTTCATGGTTGTCCATCTACTACAGTGGTTATGTTAACATAATATTAATTATACTCCTTGTTTATATGCTAGCACTTATCAGTTATCGTTGATTGACAAATGACACCATCAAATTATGGTTGTATCACAGTACAAATTCTTTCCTATAAAAAAATATTTATTGATACAATATTACACTGGGCTACAGCATTGACCGGCTGCTCCCCTAAATAGATCAATATTCGGCCGTCCGGGGCAAATGTCCTAATTGCACCTCTCTAAATACGGCCCTGACTAAGCTTTAAAGTCTCTGGTCAAAGTTTAATCAGAGAACAAACTCTCTATTGATAAGGGAGTCAAAGTTAACAGGAGTCTAAAGCAGAGTGATGAGCTGTTCACCCCAATTGTATTTAATCTCATATTTGTAAATGTAATTAAAATAATGGATACATCAACGGACCCAGAAAAATTGTGTGTAAAATACTATTGGGAAAGCTAATATAAAATTAGTCCCAACCCTAATCAAAAAAAAAAACTACTTACTACATGAATATGGGCCCTTATAATAAATGTATGATTTTCACAGAATATATTATCTAATAATAAATATAAAAAACCCATACAAAGTGATTTTTTGAGCATGCTCTATCCCTACACTTATTCTCAGTATATTTAATCAAATTCTGATTCTTAGAGCCCAAATACGGAATAACATGGAAACAATTAAAGACCATTTTATCAAATATATACTTAGATTTGTATTTTTCTGTGACAATACAAACTTTATTTTTCTAAGAAAACCATTTTTTAATAAAGCAAATTGTCAATAAAAAGATTTTTTTTAATTCGGACATATCTTAATTAAATTGTATCCAAATTATTTAACTTAATGTACATTTTTTAATGATTGTTGAACATAAAATATATAGTATCTATAATATGTAATATTCAGCCTAGAACTCATTATACCTACTATTAACTATTATGACATTTTTAACAAATCTTCAAAGCCTATTTAATATTTACTAAGAATCTATTATCCTTACTCATTAGTTTCATAACATAGAAACTACTGAATTCAATTTAGGTGTACACACTCTCAACATTTTTCAAAAAAAATTTATACAATTAAAAAGGGTAAACTTGAAAAAAATAAGTTTGTAGTGCCACAGATCTCTCTTTAAATTTAATAAAAAAATCTAAGTATTTAGAAAATACATGGCAATTATTCTTTCACCATACTTGAAAATTCCAATAAACAGAATTTTAATAAATTAATTTATTAAAGGAAAAAATGGTGGAGAGCATGCCTGGAAAATATGAGTATTAAACTATTATGAAGAATAAAATAATATAAAAATATTATGGTCTGTGCCTTAAATGGCAAATGGTAGAATGGGCAATGGAAACAAAATGTAAAATTAACAGTTAATGTACTATGATCTCCACAGTAGACCAGGAATAATAAACTTGGGTTTATGATAAAATAAAATTAGGTACTATGATTAAAAGAATACTCAGCCTACATACTTAGTAAAAGGTCCATTACTACACTCGGTTCAGCGTGAAAATACGCCGCAGACCGATGAAAATTAGTTCTGCGCATCTCCAAGCAATATCCTGAAACAGTGGAACTGGCTTAATGGCAGGGTGTCAAATGGGGATGCATAGAACCATGTATTTTCTAGTTGGATAGATAGATACTATCAAAATAAATAAAAAGCATGGTAGGATACAGAGACCTTATCACAACAAGTGTTAAGATATTAAATTTGAAAGCATTTGAAAAATAACTCCAAACAAAATTTGTTTAAGCTATCATATATCCTTAAAGATTTTTCAACAATACATGGTAGTAGTTTTTAAATTAAAAAAAAAAATTAATAAGTAAATAATGACCGGTAACATCTTAATAACAAATTGACTTAATTTAGATAAATAGACCCTATTTGATGACCCATCATAGTTCCCTCAAAATCACAAATTGGCAAAAATAATTAGTTGTTTGTAAAATTACTTTAGTATTAGCTGCTATCCAATTTGAAGTTTCTGAATCATCATCACACTTTTTGATCCACTTCCTTAATAAATTACATTTAACAGGATCATGCCAATTTTCTCCACACACAAAACAAAATACATGCAAACATCGACAGATCACTGGTTTTGAATCAATATATTGGGCTTTAATAACATTATTGCAGTCGGGTGATGGACACCAACGTAATAGCCTGTTACACTATTTTAAAACAACAAAATAAAAATGTATAGAGGTATAGATTAATTATATACAAAGATAATATAACTCACTTCAACAAAACTATTGGTAATCAGATGTTGATATTTCATTCGAACTTTTGGATCTCTGACTAATCGCATAACAGTGGCATCATCTACTAATATATCACAACCACTTGCTGCGCATGCAATTGTTTGACCAACACCTTCTTCAATAATTTTTGTTGTTAAATATTCAGTCCAACACTGTGTGCAAAATCGATGATTACATTCTAACCCAGTCATCATCTATAAGTACAAAAAAAGATATTATTATATCAGTCGACATTGATAGTTAAAAATAATTTGCATAATTTGCAAGTAAATGAATAGTATTTATTGATGTTTAGTATATTTACTTAGTTATAGAATAATTTAAAATGATTATACTAACTACAATTAATTAATCATAATATAAACTTATGCTTTAAACTTCAAAGGAGGTTTCTGGTAGAAAATTGAATCCAGTTTGTATTTTGGGATCAAAAGTAGAAACTCTTCAGTACATTTTAAAATTGGAAAAAGATAAGAACATTAGCAAAATTATTATTTATAATTAAATTGTTTGGTAATCTTGAACTTACTTTTTTAAATTGTACTTATATGTTGGTAATATTTAAATTGCAGATATTTTTAAAAGCAGAACTTTTTTTTAAAGAATTTACCCAATTTTTTTATGTTATATTCTATATTACAACTTGGTAAATCTTTCTTTTAATGATACGATAGATCTTATTATGCTATAGAATTTTTATCATACTGCTATTATACTATTAGCTATATGGTAACCAGACAATTAATAAATTGAAGTTGACTTTGATAATAGGCATTAGTGTAGGTATAATAAATACAATTAAGAACAATTATATCAAGACTGTATGATGAATACCGATAGAAAACTGAACTAATCAATTATTATTTGTTGGCTATATTTTTTTGAATTATGATGTCGAAATGAAACACATTTCAACCTCATTTTACTTTTAGTGTAGAATAAAGATTTTTATACTATCATAGAATTTAAACTTAACATTAAATAAACAACACCTTAGTACGCCTGGAATATGCAAATACATTTAAATACTATATCTTAACATTTACAGGAAGGAAACAGTTTTAATCAGCTGAAAATATTATAACAGGATCTAGCTTGTTAATTGTAAGATTTGACAAATAGTCTGACTTGCTGGTATATTTAAATAATTATGTTTCATAATGCTATACATAAATCTTAATATTTTAACTTACATTGTTTGGAAGCCTTACAAAGCAAATAGCACAATCTTCCATTCCAGGAGTACCTCTACTGCGTGTAGATGTTGGCTGTAACATACAAAAACAAAAATAGTTAATAAGTCACACTATCAATTACATTAAATTAAAATGTATAATACAATAATAATCAAAACATTTTGTAATAATGACTTAAATTCATAGTTAATTTTATCAAAAATATTGAACTATGGTGTATATTACATAACAACATTTACAAACAACTACAACTTTGTTATCAACCGCCATTGCACTGTCTAAAATGTATCAACCTGCCATCAAGCAACTGTCTATCAGATTAATTTAAAAATTTGAAATGTATGATCTTTACCTATCTTTCTACGTCTATAAAAATATCATTATCGCGATTGTATATTTAGTAATGTCAAGTACATTATCTTTTACCTGCCTTACAAACATTACTTTAAAATATAATTAAAAATTAATTTGAATGAGTCATTTACCATAATATTTAGTGCTAGAAATGTATAACTATAATAAAAATATATAGCTTAAAAATTGTAATGTGAAAATAGTCAAAAAATTAATAATTAAACCATTTATGCTTATTTTATGAAATTATGAATTATAATAAATGTATTACAGATTGTATATTATTCGCTTTTATTTTAAAATGTTGTTACAACACATACAATAGAATGGTCATCTGACAAATATTTATAAGGTAATTAAATAATAGAAACTTATCGATTATCATACTCCAGCAGCCAACAAGCAAAGTTAAAATCTCGAACTGTTAAATATTTATTTCAGCATAATATGCAGATCAATCATTAATTTAAATTGGTAGATCTCATTAGAGGAACACACACTCTAAATATTAAACGCTTATGGCGATCAGTTAAAGACTTGAGGTAAGGATATAGACCACTTAGAAACTTATTGGACTATGTTAAATTCCTACATAGGTGAATTTTTGTGCCGCCCAACAAAGCAAAGGTACAAACAGTAAATTTAAACAAATAATAAAAAATATTTTTAAATTAATATCTCCTTTATAGTTATATTTATACCCATCTGTTTATATTTTAGGTATATTCATTGCCTACATTTATGCATCGTCTTAAAAAATATTAGTTTATATAATATAAATTGTAATTAACAAGTATCTACTTATTTCCCTTTCCCCCTCTAATATAATACATACATGTAAGTAAAAACAAATATCAACCTAAAGTTAATACTAAATAGTTCATAATACAAAAACAGAATAAAATACTCAACCCGCACCCAATTGGCCGATAGAGTATGACAACTGAAAAGTGCCAAATAATACTATAGGTATTAAAAGTCAATAATACAGAATATGACTCTAAAAAATTCAATATCAAAAATGATGTTAAAGTAATCTAAAATGCATTGTTAAAACATTATTTAAAAAAATAATTCATTACCCTTTGTATAATCGGTTGAGTTCTCTTAAATGGATTTATTACTCTAGCTTCGGAGAATAATTTATCTTGGTCGCCATCATAAAACCGTTCCATTAACTTTTCTTTGTCCCATTTAAAATGATTCAATAAAATGCGAGTTGTTGTAGCAGGCATCTGAAATTACCAAAAGATGTACCATACAGATTGTATCTACAAAGCTTTTTAAATATAAACTCAATAATAAGTAGGTAACATTAAAGGATACCTATTTATAATAAATATCGTATATTCTACTGTGTGTATATGGGGATACAATAACAGAGTTCTCTAAAACAAGGTCATGTATTGCATTTTTAAAATTAAAATAAACTGTTATTATGCTCACTTGAAGCACAGTATTCACGTCTTTGATGCAATCAATCATGTGTTGAACAATATTGTCTGTGGACAAAACTTCAAAGGGAAAATCATCAATGTCTTGGTTTTTTTCACGTTCGTGCCGCACATCAACCTCCATTGCAAAATCCACATCATCTCCGCTTGATTCATTTCCAGAGTCTATATCGTTCAATGCATCTTCATCCGAGTCCATCGCAACAGCTTATTTCAATAGAATTCAACAGCAAGACAATTTTGATAAAAATTTAGGTATTTTGTACTTGGGAAATTTTAATTTTTTTTCAATATCACGCACGCCAGGCGACGTACGATCTGGTCGATTGTTATTGTTATTTGTTTGTTGTTTTCTAGGTGTGATGATGACTGGTGGCGGACGGTGGTGGCCCAGTGAGCATATTTTGAAAAAAAAAATTATGATTATTTATGTATCAGAAATATATTTCTGTTTTAAACACAATTTTTCTTAATTTTATTTTGCCTAGCAAGTAGCAATCAGTTGTTTTCTGACCCCGGTGACGTCACCCACTTTGTGATCTTGTTTCCTCTATAACCTCTTTGGCTTTTATTAGTATCCAAAATGGTAAACACTGACTGTTGCGTAGCAATTCGTTGTACTATCATTTCGATCCCCGCGGGCCACGAAAATACAAAAAAAACAGAACCTTTTAGAACTAAAAGTAGGTATACCTGACTAAAACCCTTTAGACCTCTAATTGTAGTCATGTCAACTGTCACGGTATACATTTCACTCAAGTCCTTAAAAATTACCCATACGGAAGAAAATATTTTATTTATTAGAATAAACACTAAACGGCTTTTGGAACAATATAAACCAAGTATTAAAGATAAACAAAGGTAAGGTTGGTTATATACTAATACAACAAAATAAATTGTAATACAATATATAAAACTCATTTTAGTATTAGTTTAGAAAATTACCTGTAGTTAAAAATGTAATGTGAAGTATTGAAGCTGGCCAGGGTAAGAAAAATGTACACATTGCTATTGGCCATGGTCTGTAGACATCATTCTGATCAGGGATAATTATTAGTAAAATTAGTGTGCTTAACTGGTAGGTAAAATAATCAATTAATCCTGGTGCTACTAGGGGCACGAATATAAATGCATTGACTATAGTGGTTGAGCATTTCATATTTTAAACGAGGTAGGGAATGTTCTACATTATGTCCCGTAATGTTGTGACCGTAAGAAAAGGTTTATCGAACTTAAAGAAAAAAATTATTAGATTATTAAGAGAACGCTACCTACATTTACATGTATTGTCTCCGCCTTAAAAGTGCGTAATATAGTAAATCTTACTCTCAGCAGATCGCGTTTAGCTCCGTTAGTTTAAAAATTAGAGTGAATTGACCTCTTATACAATTAGTACTTATACAATTTACTACAAATCTACTTATACTACTATACTAGTATTGAAATTTTAAGCCGCGGGTAGTGATCACTATATGACAGCTATATGGATGGTATATGATTGAACAATTTAGAATTTCATTACGTTTATGTATAGTCATACACTCATACATATTATATTATAAAATGTTATTAGACTATTTTTAAAAACATAAAGTAACTATAGACGCAGTTGCCTGTTAATGAGAATATAAATATTTCTTTAAACTATAATATTCACCCTTATGGCGTAATTCTATGTTTATTGTTTGGATATTGAACCCTTAACTTCCCTACCTGGTAACTATACGGCTACACATAGGTACCTATAATACCTATATATATATAATAATATTTGCTTATAAAGTTGATATGATATTATACATATAACCATATACCTATAGGCAGTGGGTACCAGCAATGAACATAGTGTATGAATATAATATAATATGACTATATGTCTGCATGAGTATAGTAAAAATTGCACATGTAACTGCTTCTCAGTTAGGTACCTACCAATAAAATGTTTTTAAATATTTCAAAACAACGAACATAATATAGGTTTATTTGTACCTACAACATTTTTACGAACTTTTTGTACTATTTTTAGTCAAATATTTAAACTATATATGTTATTGTTATTATACAATATACAAAGTTACATATTATTATCGTTGATGATTGATTGTAAATACTATATGTCTATTTAAAATCAATAATATTAAACGTATAATATAAAGAGAGTCCAAGCCTTATAATTTCTGAATCGATAACTAAATATACGTCCAAGTCATTTGATAAACATGAGCATAGTAAAATATGGCCTTGTAGGCATGCCTTTCATACTTTAATTATATATTATTTAGGTAGGTAGTAAATTATTGACATCAAGCCAAATTCAAGTACCTAACCTATAATATTTAGTTAAAAGTTATTATTATCACTAGAGCTTGAATTTGTATGTAAATACTAAATTTCATTAAGTGCAGATTTCTTAATTCTGATTAAAAATTACTTACAAGTTTCAAACAATTCGAAACAAAAAGTATTAATTTTTACATATTTTGAAATAAATGCATGTTTATACAGATTTAATCATTATGTACATATTTCATAAATAATTTCTATTTTTATATTTAAGTATTACAGGATCACGGACGTATTTACAAATCACAATAATCGTTATTCTAGAAAATGTCTTGCAACATTTTTGAAAAAAAAATTCATCTTAATAAAAATGAAAAAGTTGGATTTTGTACTCTATGCCGGCGGTTCCCAGCCTATGGGCCGCGGCCTATATTGGGGCGTGAACCATATAAATATATAATATTTAATTTTATATATTTTAAGTACATACCTAATAATATTTCTGGTTACAATAATATCTATCAATATTATCTACACTCTGTAGTGTCAAATTAGTGTCAAATAAACGCTAAGTATTGGAATAAACTGAATGTTGAAAATGATTTAATTCTAAAACTATCCAGTTTTCATCCCGATATTGATTCTCTCGTGAAGGACAAGTAATGTCAAAAATCACACTAAATTGTTTAACTTGTGATGAAATTTAATCAATTGTTTTCATGATAAACAATTGATTTTGTAATTCTTTTTAGTTCTTACAACTGACGTTTGTATATACATATATTTCTGCATTCGTATATTATATAGGTGAGCTATTTGTGGGCCTCAAAGATTTTTTTATAAAATTGGTGGTCCGCACAGCTAAAAAGGTTGGGAACCGCTGCTCTATACTATCATGTTCAACTTAGTATTATTATACTAACTGACTGCAGCATGGAGGGTTATCAATTGAATAATTTGGCTGTTATGGTCGATGTAGAGTTGCAGGATTAATGAGGGTTCGTAAATACTCCTCTTGAATTGTTTCTCAAAGTTTAATATCGAATTACCTGTAGTGGGAGCAGAGCATAGAGAAAATAAAATGTACCAACGACTAAACTATAATGATATATACCTATTATATAATATATTATACTATATGCCTATATGTCTATATATTAGTTGTCAAATTTAATTTATTTCAAACCATTCATTCTAATATAAATCAAATGGATTACCTATTATGCATAAAAGTATAAAACTATTGTAATTAAACAAATTAATTAATAATTATTTAAAACATTTTTTTAAAATCCCATATTACATAAGCATATTATACTTATTTGAATTATTTCTGCTGTGATTATTTTAATCCGTAATTAATTAACCATACCGGTTCAAAATGTATTGTATCAACCAGACTTAATAATTACCAGAATATATTATACATTATACCTACGATAGGTACCACAAAGTAAATATTTCAGCGCACATACTCATAATTGTATGTATATTCTAGGCTTATGTTGTGGGGATTGACACTTCCTAAACTCGTACATTGTATTCAAATGATTTTTGTTAACGTGCAATATTTGTTAGTAGGGAGCCATAGTGCCACACTGCCAATTCGATTTCGATATATGTTATTTAAATACATATAGTTCGTTTTTACTAATTTGTTAACGCGTTATATTATATACGTATACATATATAGAGACGTATAATATTAAGTATTTTTAAAATGTCTATACATTGTTACACTCCTTCCACAGTATCCAAACATAAAGGAACTTGTGATGCATGGATCAGCATTCATGGAAATGTATATGATATTACCAATTTCATTACAGTGGTGAGTACCTACTGAGTATCATATTAATCATAAATATTTACATGTATTATATTATAAAACATATAAAACTAAATAGATAGGTATTATGTAGTAAACTAGTATAGATATAAATATAACTCTATACGCATAAATATAAACTTATTAGTTATTAACTTACTGATTATAGTTATATAATAAAATAAGACGTATTTACATGTTTTTATGGCACCTTTAAACCTATAACCTGACCTAACTTTACCTATTATAATTCGTTGTATTCCAATTAACCAATACAACTATAATATTAATGCAGTATAACTATATTAAATTAAAGACAACTTGTGATTATTGATTACACAACATCTAAGATTGTAAAATAATGTTAAGACACACATCTACACAGCACGCATATAATTCTTGCTGTATCTTATTTTCTCAGTGAAAACTGGTATGTGTTGGCTTTTGTTTATTTTTCTGTTGACACGATTTTGGGAGCTGCATAATAAGTTTCATTTAGAAAACTTCCCTTTAAATTCATTGTAAATCCAGTCTATAGTTGGTATACTTCTAAAAAGTTAGTTCTCATTATATACATAGTCACATAGGTACTTAGTTCCATACTAACAACAACAGTTGAATTATATTCATGTAGAATTGGCGTTTTTAACAGGCAACGAAGTAGACGGGGCTACACTTTAGTTAAAACTTCAATTATTGTAAAACTAATTATTGTACAATATTTGTAATATTTTATCGTATAATATTATGTATATTATAAATACTTTTCGTGAATCCCAATAGCCTATGCCGAGGGTTGAAATAAATTTAAAAGTATATATTAAGTAGGTATACATAATAATTAACAACTTATCATATATATGGGATATTTTTGGAAACATTTAGTTCAATATTGAATATACTATTATACTGTAGTTTATTATTATAAGGTTTGGAATTTTATAGCATTTTTCTTATAAGATGCATAAGAAATAGCAGAGTAAATTAAAAATGTATTGTTTGATACAGAGAACTCAAATTAAACATTTTATTTTGCATTTTTTGTGAATTTTGGATTTTAGTGCTATATGTTTGGACTTTTTGATATGTTTTGCATTTTTAACCGTTTTTGAATCAAAAATGATTATATTTTAGTAAATGTGTTTTTAAATTATTGTCAATAGAATTGTGGAATTAAATAGATTAAATAAAAACCGATTACGTGGAAAGGCTGATACGACTCGAGCAACAGGCAACGCGTAGTTCAGAGTTTCGTATGATTTGGTTCACATTTTTAACCTTTGTGATTAATTGATTTTGTTCTGATTTTTTTTTTTTTGATTTCTACTGCTGTTATCATTTCTACTTCTGAAAGATGATCAAACGAGTGTTGAATCGTTGTATACTCTACTTAATCTTATACAATTGTATTTTGTACTTATACCCTTACTCAGAGTGACTAAAAATTATTTAAAAACTTAAGTAACTACTAAACTATCTATAATATGTAAGTGATTTATAAATTATTTATTAATAAATGTTAGTTTTTTCTACATTTTTTTTGCTTTTTTTGCATATTTTTATCTCTTGTTTAGCGATATTTAAGCCTAAGGTATATATGCAAGGTATTTAGACAATTTTTAGTCCTATAAGCTCCCAATCCTGATTATTATACTCTCAGCTTACACAACATTTTTGTAAATTTTATCTTTCACTTAATTTATATTAATTAGTATGGCATCAACAAATAAATAAATAATTTTTATTAATTAAATGCTTAAAACTCTCTATTATTCAAAAAGCTAGTGGGTATGGGGAGCTAAGCAAGCAGAGGGCAGAGCGCGATATAGCTCCTAATAGTAATAGATAACTAATTACAAATAAATAATAAAATATCTTCAGAAATAGAGCCTGACATAACGTCTCCATTCAGAGTCTCACAATAGTTTTTGAATGCAATGATTTAAATTTTGAATTCAAATTATGCACATCCATCACAATAGCAATAATGATGAGACGAAATCAACAATTCCTATTTAATAAGAATGCCTAACTCCTCCGGTTTTTGTTTTTATTCTAGTATATCGGTTAACGTTAATCGATATAATATAGTATAATTGTGTATACAATATATATGCAGATTTAAATGTATTGTATATTAGGTACCTATTTATTCATTGTATAATATATGAAACTGCTTTGATTATTATTTATATAATAATTTATAATAATAATAATAATAATTCATTTATACAATGATAATTTAATCTAATTTTGATTTTGTATAGCCATCTATCTCATAATATTATGATCTCTTTGATTGTATGTCTGTAATGGTAATCTGTATCATTAAAAAGCTAAACATTAAACACCCATTTGCTTCGGCTATGCATATGAGTTATGAGTTATGACGAATTTAATTTATAACAGTTATAATTAAAAGTATTACTGTAGTCTGTAGTATGTTGTAGTATCTATTTCCATTGATTATAAATATTACATAGTAAATAGTAATATTGGCGATGGAAAGTGATAAGCTGTAACGGGGAACCTGTGTATAATACTATACCTAATGTATACTTCTTTTATTTTTTCACGAGCCTCATTACAGACCACTCTCCACCGGCCTAAAAATTGATAATATTTCTATCACCAATAGTACTATTATGTATAATACATACTATATACTATCTATAGTATTTATAATCAGTGCTATTACTAACCGGTATTATTAACGGTGAACTAATAATTTGTTATTGAACAAAAACTGATAAATAAATTATGATTTTATTAAAAATATAGTTAAAGTGTTAAACTAATTAAAAAATATGTTACTAAATCAAGCGTGATATACTTGAAATTTAAATATATGATACATTTATACTATATATTATTCTAATTTATTGTTAAAAGTTAACACAATAAGTATACATTTTAAGTTATAAGTAGGTACTTATTATAACTATAAGTGTTATCTATATGGCTAAACAGCTAGTATAGATACTTATTACTTATATCATAAAATTCTTACCTATAAGTATATTGAAAATTACGACTAACATTTATTTAAGAAATACGGATTAATTTGAACTACGGTGAATATAAAAATATTTTAAATATGTTACTTAAATAGGTTATAGATGTATATACTTTATAATAATTTCATACCTATAGGTACCTACCTCAACATTTGTAAACATCTTTCTACATTTTTTCATTCCATGGCATCTATATTGTTATCCCTTTTTCATTAAAACACTATAATAATTGTTTTTGTACTTTTAAATAATAGTATGGTATTATTAATGTGAAATATCTAATGCGGTGGGTGAGATCGGTTGTTGGTACTCGCGATACATTTAATAAGCCTTTAAAATAAAGAATAATTTTCCTTAAAAAAAATCTGAATATTTTGGTTTTAATTATGCCATTTTCATATCTGTCAGGCATCCCGCGACGACTTATTATTTTTTATTTATCTTAACCCCTGACTAAGTAGTACAACAATTTCAAGAACTTGAAAATATGGTTTTTAGATGTATTAAAAAAAACTCCCCGGGTAACCCCAGGGGTTAAAGTGGGGGGGGGGGAGACGCAGGAGGACTCAGTCCGCCGCCTACCTCTGACGGCGGTTTTAAAGAGTCTCCTTTAACAAATTAGGATTTTAATATTTTATACATAAGACATTATTCATAAAATTATATATGGAATGCTTAAAACTATGTGGAGACATTAGTCCCCTCTGGAATTTTTTTCTTCTTTAAACCCTGGGTAACCCCAGAAGACGTTTGAAACGTAAATGGTGCCGAGACCCACCGAATTCTTAAATGATTTAAAACCATCGCTCATGCCGAGTCAATATGCGTCATGCTATTAAGTTCCATCACTGCATGGATGGATTCTTCCTTAAGAGTCAAGACAATACTATACTCCAATTACTGCTACATAATTTTTACTTATTGAAAAAACATATTTACAGATTGCATAGTAATGTTTGATAGCCGATAGGTACACAAAAAAAAATATTGAATAAATGTATATTAATAAATTAAAAATGGTGGTATTGTTTTTCTTTTACATCAAATTTTTTTAAGAACTTTCGAATTCATTAAGTTTATCTTAAAGTATATGATATAATTAAATATAAGTTATAAGTATTAGGTAGGTGCCCACATAAAAAAAATACAAACATGGTTAAATTATGATTTTAGCACCCGGGAGGTGAAGAAGTTCTTGTTGAAGCAGCAGGAACAGATGCAACAGTGTGTTTCGATAGTATAGGACACTCAGATGAAGCGTACAAGTTAATGAACGATTTAAAAATAGGAAAGTTATCATCAAAAGATGAGGTGAGTATTTATATTAGATTAACTCGTACATTGTTTATGTAAAATTTGGTACAAATATTGAATTTTTATAGTTATAACTTATAACTTATATCTATAAAAGTATAATTTTAATTTATGTAGGACATAGGTTATATTAAATCCCATATTATGGAAGGGCACTGAAATCGATAATATATACTGGAGGGCGGATTCGCTGTTCTCACAATGATAAAAAACGAGGTAAAAATTCTACTTCCCCACCACTAAAGGGTAAAACATTTCATTTTTATATACGACGGACGTTATGTAATTATGACTATTTTTGCTTATAATTCCTAATTTATTTCAATTATTTTCTTAATTTTTTAACAAATTGGATGTAGTAATAATTAATCATTACCTTATTGTATTACCATGATTATATATGGTATATATTATATATTATATGACATTATAAATTGATATGAAAAGAGATACAATTTAACAATAAATTAAAATCAAATTGAAAAACCTACAGTTTAATAATTAAAATTATAATTTATAATAATAAATTAATTTTGATTTAAAAGGAAAAAATAAAAAACATTTTATAACATTTTATAACAGTATATTTCTTATTTATGCAAAAGTACAAAATAATGGTATTTACATATTATATGTATATTTCTTCAGTACGTGTGCATGTCATTAAACTCCGCCAGAGTGCTGCTCAAGCAGTAATTTTAAGATTTACGATGGGCATTTTTGTTTATAAGTGGTTGCTCTTGGTTAATAAATGAATAAATAAACATTATAATATAATATAAAATTACATATAGAAGACAGGTGGAAATATTGGTCAACGTTCAGGGAATGTACAAATAGTCAATAACCGTCAGTCATAAAAATTATTTGAGTATTTCCTTTCGTGCTATTATTGAAGACAAAGTCTGTCGGGACAGCTAGTTAATATATATAAATATACACAAATACGTAATTTAAAAACTATTGACAAATTTTTAAATAAAATTATTTTTGATAGTTTCTTTCGGAGAAGATTTTTTGTTCAATACTTCTCTCAAATTAAACTTTCTCTGGTAAAGGCACATTCTTATTTTTATAAATGTGGTACTAATTAGTTTAAAAACTATTTATTCGTGGCTAGATGCCCCTAAATACAAATTTATTGAATGTAAGTTAGAAAAAAAAAAATAAACGAATTTTTAACTGTATATACTTATTCTAGCACATTCGATAATATTGTGTGCTGCATTTTTATGTAATTAACATTCCTGGACCACAACAACTTGAAAAGCTTTTTCTAAATGCTGTACTATTAATAGAATAGCTTTTGAAGCATTAATTAGTTTACCTGTATTTACTGCATTCACAAAAGTAACTGCTGTATAATTATTATGATCAGATTAATGATTTTCCATCGACATATCAGCACATGCTCACTCATTTTTTCATTGTACTTCTTATAATATATCCAGAAATGTAAGTTAAAATACCAATCACATATTCTCCCGAATGAGTACTATTAAGTTGCTACAAGTAAACTTGAATTTCATTTTCATCTTCTTTTCATGGTTCATTTTATACACATTTTATGTTCCTTTTTTCAGAACGAAATTCTGTTACCTCGTCGTCTGCATTTACATCAGAATCGCACCAATTAGTAATAACCACTTTTAAAATTTACTAAGATAGAAAATATGAGTAAATATCTCAGCGATAATAAACGAAAATAACTCATTATTTACACGTCCATCGTATATTCGTATGTAAAAATGAAAATTGATGTTTTGTCCTTCGGTGGTGGGGGTAACTTCAAATGCTACGGCTCATTTTTACGGCTGAGTCCGCACTCCAGTATGTATTATCTAACAATTCTAACTCAGTGTGGAAGATTGATTATTTATCATTTTAAGGATAGGTAGTTATTCTAAGAATAAGTTCAATCTAAGATTTTTTAGTTAAGATGCACCGATGTCCGATAACAGTATTATTATTATAATTTTGTTTTATTACATATTATATTAGACAGTCTGTAAACGATTATTTCACAATTAGTGCAATGTGAGACGTGAGTAATGTATATATTATACAGGGTGCGGCAGTCAAATCCGACGATTTAAAAGAATAAATAAAAATAGAAAAACATTTTTTTATTAATTTTTCGCTAAACAAATAAAAACTACACAAGTGGAATTTTATATTATATATTTAAAAACTTCATTTTTTCAAAATTCTCTTATTTTTTTCAATATTCTTCTCAAAGTCCGATAACTTAAGCCAAGTTCTTAACTGTGACGCCTGGCTGACTTTCGAGAACTTCTCCCTACTGCTTGTTTCACCCGCTCTACATTTTCTTGAGTCTGTCTAGCTTTTTTACTACCACCCCTCTTTTGAGTCATGCTAGCTGTGGTTTCAAAGTTTTTTACCCACAGGTCGATGGTACCACGAGAAGGCACAGGATCGCGAGAAGATAAACTAAATTGTCGGCGAAATGCACTTAGAGCGCCTACGAAACTATCATTACTAAATTCCGGGTATTTAAAAGCGATAAGAACATTCCCGAAATCTCTACCACTTTAGTGCTGCCCACCAGCTCTTGTTAAAATCGTCGGGTTTGACTGCCGCACCCTGTATTAAGTGGCCTATAGTCAAGTAATAGACATCCTTCAGAAGTGTTGCTATTTTTTTTTGCTGGAAACGAAACTGTAATCTTTACCATAACGATAAACTATTTCACCATTAACACTATTCTGCTACTGTTCAATATAGGCAGATAATAGTAGCGTCCTCAGGAATTTTCAAAGGGTTGGGGAGAAATATGTAAAGGAGCTATTTTCACACAAAAATGGCCAATTTTTAGGGGGAGGAGGTTAAACCCTATGATGCCCTATGATGAGTAGGTAAGCCTAATAAATTGTTTGATTTTTTCTTGTCTTTTAAAATAACCGTGTCAAATTAAAATTTTGCTGAAAAATTATCTAAAAAACCTAGGTACCTTCATTCTATATAATATACCTATAATATGTGAGTTCTTTAAAATCATTTCCTTATTTTTCTCGTTTTTGTTACTTAATATTTGATAAAATTATTTTTTATTGCTAAAATTAAATATTTCAGCATGTATATTTTTAAATTGAATTTTAGACTTGCGATATGCGTTGATAATTTATTACTGACCAAAATATCATTGTCATTGTCTAAACCGTACATTTGCGAACATAATTAATTACTAAATATACCAAAGTCCTTGAGCTGAAATATACAATTGCCTATTACTATTGAGTATTTACTATTTTACTAGGTATTTAATACCAATATCAATTAATTTGATTCAATGAATGATAAATTCACATATATATGTCTATGGTTTTATGTGGTACAACCTTCAAGTAAAATTTTTTTGCCTGTAACAAGAAATTTAACTATTGGTACTTTTCACGTCTGTATATAATATTGTTTGAACGAAAAATTATATTTGATTAATTTTTGATTATCTGTTTAAATACCAACTTTATATTATTATATTTTCTGAGTGTTACTGCTGGGTATATCTACTCTTCTCAAGCGTTCATGTTATGTTTGTTCTTTTTTATTATTCTACACTCATATGCTTATTGTAAATGTTTCGCAGTTTGTATATTTTCTAATAAATGTTTAAAAAAAGGCAGGCAAGTGGGCAAGGCTCGCTCTGCTGCAGTACCCACAGTTGGTGTCTAGGGGGGTTGGTGTAAGGGATGTGCTAAATTGTAATTCAATTATATAAAATCCATAATCATTTCGTTCAAGGGCGCCCGCAGGGGGGGCCAAAGGGGCCATTGCCCCTACTGGGAATTTTTTTAAACTATTGTTTATTTAGTGCCACGGCGCCACGCATATTAATTATAACATAATTTTATTGACTCAATTGAGATTCATTTATGAAGTTATGTAAAAATTATTGTATTTTTAGATAATCTATAAAAATAATCTTTAATGTATACATTAGTTTACAATGTTTATAATAATCACTAATCAGTCCTACGAAACTCCGTGTATGAAGACAGATTAAATGGCTTAGCTTTATTGTATATACATAAAGACATTGTTAAAAAGCAAAAGCAAAAACAAAAAATTATTGAAGATGTTATACAATCATTTTGTATGCAACCAAGACGCATACAATTTTTATTTGATGATTAATATAAATAAAATTAATTTGTGACATTTATATTATACATTTATATTCAAATAATATTAATATTGTTTTATAAACCTACAAAATAAAAGGCCTTATGTGATGACATAATTTTGTTTTTTTCTGTTTAATGTAGGTTATGCTATTTTAGAATAAAAAACACTAGAAATATATTAAGATTTAAAATAATAATTTTGATCTTACCCCGGGTGGGATTTTATCCTGCTTGCGCCTTTGGTATACGAAAAACCTAAATCATTAGAAAAAAAATCTTTTATGATATTATTCTTAAAGTAATTTATTTAACTATTAGACATCAACAGATTGCAAATTGTAATGTAAAAAAAATAATATTAACCATTATAGTAACATACAGTATTACAGTACGTCTGATTAATTTTTGCCCAAATAATTGTATTCGAAAATATCATTGTGTGTATACAATATAATAACATATTTAAAAAGGTTCCCTAGTTCCCAACAATAACATATTTAAATTACAAGATAACTAAAACCATTATTCTTTGTTTAAATATCTAATTTTGTCCAAATTTGAGTTTGAGATATCAATAAAAAAAACTGTGCTTATATATTTTTTAGATTTTTTGGTTGTAGCATGAACTACTTATGAGAACCTTGTAGGTATTACATTTTCAAGCTTTTTGACAACCATAAAAAAAACTAAATTTTTTTAAGCTCAAAAAGAGTTAAGATATTTTGAAAGCTGTATGGTGTATATACAATTTCTGGTACAAACATTCGGTGAAAATATGTATCTAAAGTTATTATTTTTTAGACTCACCCCAAAAATCAAAATCGATTTTGTCAAAAACTGGTTTTGAGTAAATAATTCAGTTTTTCCTTTATTTTTTTTGGGGGAGGGGGGACTATCCCTACGCGTTTGAAAACTATCTGGTAATTTTTACTCTTGACCCAGGTTTTTAGAATTCACTTTCCTACAAGATAAATTCTGAAGTAGATATTCAAAGCATATTTATTGCCATATAAACCAAAAAATAATGACAGACGCACACACACGAAAAAAAAATACAAAACATACATCATTATAAGATCAATAATCCATACCATATCCATACCAATCAGAACCTAAATTATTATATTTAAAATTATTGTTAAAAGTTTGTTTATGATTAAGAAGTTTAATAAATGTATATTGATATAAAACGTAACTGCATTAATTTATATATTTTATCTTATTTATATTGATGGTATTAATAAATATATAAATTAAATTTCATCATTAACCGTTTAGTAAACATGAATTATATAAAAATGTTATTTCCTAACTAAACTATCGACTGTACATCGAGTATTTGCTTGTATACACTTAAAATATAATAAATATTGAAATGTAGGTATTAGGTACAACATGTTAAAATATTTTCAATATTATCACTATATTTTTGTTTTAATCACTAATATCTAATTAATCCACATATGTAATCTTTAAAAAAAGTTTACCAATTGATTTAACTATTAGGCAAGTACGCGGTGTAACATCAATCGATCAACCATGCTAATATAATGTTGTAACTTATCTTTGTAGGGAAATTATATAATATTTATTTTAGTTTTACCGATGATAGAATGAAGATGAACAAATAAAACAAAGTTTCTTCGTATATTCCAATAGGTATCTATATTTTTTTAAATTCCAAGTGGAACGATAAATGTATGTATATCAAACCATGGTTTTTACATTGATGTGGGTTTTTAATTTTTAATTGTTGGGTCTGTTATCACTTATAGGTAGGGTTACCATAATGTTTTTAGATCAAATCCGGACATCAGTTCTGTTTCCGGGGGAGGGGGGGGGTAAATTAAAGTTAAACAGTATTGTTCTTTCATTAATACAATTTTATTTAAATCTATAAATAAAACGTCTACATAAGAGTTATTAGGTTAAACATATTATAATAATTAATTAACATATACTAATAAATATTAATTAGATATTATTAATTTATACAGAGTGAACCCTGAAATCTGTCACCAAACATAACTTTTTGTATCAATATAACCACGTTAAATGGTTACCTTTATAAAATCCGGACATTTTTCAAATCCGGACGCCAATCCGGACAGGTGTTTGAAATCCGGACTGTCCGGACGAAATCCGGACGTATGGTAACCCTACTTATAGGTATGTTGTGTAGTAAAAATACTTCAATCTTCAACTTTGAGGGTGGTTTCTGGTAGAAATGTGGATTTGGTTAGTCCTTTGGTAAACAATTTTAGTTATTTTCAAAAAAATAGGCAAATAAAAAAAAATAGGTGACCTGAGGGGTATTACATATTATAACATACTTTTTATATCATTTAGTTTAATGTTAACATATCATTTACAGTGACCAAGGCTACACGACACCTAATGTACCCACAGCAGACTAGAAGAGCGAAACCACTTGCTCACCTTTTTTTTAGTTATTTTTTTCAGTTTATGTATTATAAAATGTTTGTTAGTTAGTAAAAAGATTGAAAATTGAACACAAGGTCCCTCATAAGTTTTTTTTATAGCAACTAAAAAATATCTGAAATATGTAGGTATGTTTTATGAATTACGTTTTGTTAATTTTCATAATTGTAAATATATTTGTAACAGCACCTGGTGTGCTGAAACATTTTCAAAGAATAAATAAAAAAAAAAAATTTAATTAATTGATTTATTTTATTTATTTACGGGCTGAGAACCCAATATAATTTACAAAGATAATATTAGACCTAAGTGGGTGTTACACATACCCAAATTAACAGTCAACTGTTGCGTTACAACATTAAAGTTAATATAAATATCATAAGTAACGAAGTACAGTATAATAATACTAAACATAATACATTTTAAAAAATAATTATACATATAAAATATTAACTTTCTATAATTACTCACACTCACGGGTGTCGCGTGGTATAATACTATTTTAATAAATATCTAAAAATGAGAGGGTTGTAAAAATTTGTCTTTTTCATACTGCAGCCTTAAACAATAAAAAAACTGAATTTTATTTAATTAAAAACAATATAATTATACCAGCCCAAATGAAAAAAAAGTGGACAAGTAAGGTAGGTCTGCTGTACAGTTTAGGGGTTGAGTGGGTCACTGTCTTAGATGTGTTAAATTTGAATTCAATTGTATATGTTACAGCTAAAGTGTTGAATTCCGTTATTTTATGAAATAACTAGGTAGTTCGCGAATTACCTACAAATGTTAGTTAAAGTATGAAATAATACATGAAAATTGTACTTTAACTAGTTATTTCATAGAATATCTAGTTATTCTATACAATTTCAGTTTGATATCCATTGAAGTATAAAATACATTAAAATTTAAAATATATATTAAAATGTTTTATTTTACTGAATTAATTATAGTTATATTATTTATTTATTTGTTCGTGTAAGGCTATTATGGCATTTAGAGTGAGTTGCACAATACCTCTTTTTTTGTACAAACACATCGCTTTGTGCCACATTTGTTGGTACAAATACACTTAAAAAAACCTTAACCAGTTCCCAGTAACTGTTCAGTTGCCGCAGATCTTAATGTACCTAATACTTTTATTTGGAACAGCTTCTACAGCTAACAAATTTTCTGAACATACTGTGAACTGGGATCGAAATTATAGTTGTAATAACACTCCTGTAATTATAATGTGTAGGTAGGTATGAAATAAATAAAAAATAAAAGGACGTCAACATTATCTAATTTAATATGTTATATTAAATGGTTGAAAATGTTAGAACTATATTTATTTATCATGATATTTTGTTATTTACAAATTGTCACTATAAATTATATACATTACCTACAAGCTTTAGTTATTTTATAAATTACCTAGTTATTTCATAAACTAACTTTAACTGTAACATATACATTGTATACGAAAAATGATTCTGAACGGAGGTCTGTCAGCCAATACCAAGTAGGTATAATGTTTTTTGATAGGTTCCTATAACTATTAAATAACTTTTTATTTTACTATTATTACTACGATAGTCTGGTTCAATTGTTGTCAAAAATATTGCATTCATAAATTCATTATATTATTAATATTCAATTTATATAAAGTGTATTTATTTTATATCATATTATATTATTGATGTATTGACATTTCTGTTACCTATCACCTTGCCGAAAAATATTGTGTGAATAGGTTCATTGTACAAATAGGTACCTAGGTAATATGGTAATATATAATATAATCTAAATATCATACGTTATTGGATAGAAACATATTAAATTTACAATATTATATTCTTAAATTGTGATGACACAAAAAAAATACAACACACACATCATTAGGTATATAATATAATAAAATTATTAAAATTATGGCTTAGATTGTTTAGATTGTAAACACTTTAATCCGTGACATACAATAATACTATTAATACTAGACTTTAGAATACAAGACTAAGAAGTATAATAAGTCAGTACAACATCATACCCAACTCATAGTTTAAATATAAAAACCGTACTTAGGCAATTAGGTAGCCTTGTTATTCAACCTTCACAGCTCAACTTGGTCACTTACAAGTAGGCAGTTACCCAATGGTTAATTGCTAATACCTATATAAAAATAGGTACATTGATGTATTAAGCCAGCTAATTTTAAATTAAACATAGTATATATAGTTAGCCATTAACTTGTACTTTACTGGTATGAAATACAGGGTGTCTCGTGAGGATTTACTCATTGCAATATTTTCTGAAATAATGTAGATATCATAATTCTGGTTTTTTACTAAGACTCACAAAGATAAGCACTACAAATACTTGTAATTCATGTTTTAATTTTTTTTTTATGTTTCGGTAAAAAAGTTTAAAAATATTATTTTTTTTATTAATTATTTTAAAAAAATATTATTTTTTTTATTAATTATTTTAAAAAAAAATTGAAGATTGCCAGTTGTAGAGTTCATTTTTCTGAAAATATTGATGTTTCAATATTTTAATTTTATTAATCTCCTGATTTTTAATCAATTTTTTAGTTAATAGGTAGTACAGCAAAAAACCGGTTTTTGTAAGGGCGGCGAGTCCTCTACGACTTATGGGTATATCCTCACGGGACTCCCTAGATATTATTATTTATTTATAAGTTATCATTTTTAAAATATATGAGTTTTTTGAGGAATCTTAAAATAATTTACACAATTAATATAATGTTATAATATCTTCATTCAATATTCTCTTTTCTATTTCTATTCTATTTTTAAGTCAAGACATATGAGTACGATAGCGGTTTTTTATATACACTAATAAAATCATAGTATTCCAAAACTATAGTTTTTATCTTATACATGACTGTGTTCGAATATAAGATTAGAATAGGTAACTATATATACTAATAAGTAATATTTATTTTTAAATAATTTTTAACAGCCTTAAATTTCAGTTATTCTATTCGAGATTAGATTGAAGTCGTGCATATATGGCTCTTTATTCTCGTGTACCTACTGTACCCTAATGCTAAAACCATTTTAAAAATTGTGCATATCGCTCAGTCCCGAAAAGTATATACTAATATACTTTTCTAACTGTATTTGTCCTACACAGCCCGTTAATGTTGCATAAGCGGCAAGCACCTAGCACATCAACTAATATAGGTTTTGGCAGGTCCTAGTTCTAAAAACAAACTCGTTACATTCCAGATAACTTGACATTTAACCTGACCGATTTCCAAAATTTTTTGTTTTAATTTTGTATGAGGCTATATGCTTCAACTGCTTCAAGTTCGAATTATAAACTAATTTGATGATTATAAATAGTATACAAATTGCCATAGAAAACAGATAATAAAGATGTGGGGGGCAGTGGAAGTTATTTAAAATGTTCAATATTTAATTTAATCCATTAATCCGTGCCTAAGGTCTATGTGTTTTCAAGGCGGTAGGGTTGTTAACTCTACGTTAAACTCTTAACCTGGAGGATCAAACTACTCAACAACTATAAGGTAATCTTAGAGGATACATATTTTTAATGTAAGTACAATGTATACATTTTATATGGGAACGCCGATCACTAATGGCAACTACTTTTATCATTATGATCATTTAAGTCTCATACTTTTTTGAATAACAGCTCAAACATTTTAAATGACATATTCCTAAGCAGAATATGTTTCTGAAAAATTTCAATATTCAAAAAATCAATTTTAAATGGGTAATCAATTATTTAAAGGTGGGACCTATTTAAAGTTGTTAGATGAGCAGAGGGAGTACTATGGTAAGGTTAGGCTAGGTAATCTAAGTTACGATTGAGCATAGGATTTTTCAAGCGATGTTGCCACAATATGCAATGCCGTAATGGGCTTAAGTTGTGCCCATCATACAAATACAAACCTTTGAATAAATTTAAAAAAAATAAAATAAAATAAATAAAAACTTTTAACTAGTATTTAAATTATAAAAACACTGAAAATGTATATTAGGAATGTATATTATTTAGATAAATTTGGAAAAAGGAAACAAATGATTTTTTTTAATTAAGTAAATATATTTTTAACTTAACGATAGGAAATAACCTATAGCCTAATTATTTATTAATATTATTCATTGACGGGTCATTAATACGTCTCATACTCGCACATATGACCATGCAATCGGTTTTTAATTTATACCATATTACTGTAACTATTTAAATTAACATATCTTTTATAGTATAGACCCAGAATTGTTTAACATAATATCAAATATTCAAGCTCATTCTCATTCCAATATTGAACATATTAATTATTTTGGAAAATGGCAACATGGCAAAAATTGTTTATGCTCAATAATTGTGAAGCTTATCTTTTATTTTTAATTTTTATGTATTCGTTGATAATCCGACAAGTTTCATATCAATCCGATCAATCATATTTAAAAAAAAGTTATGAATTATGATCAATTAGTATGGACCAACATTTTGAGGGATACTCGTATAAGTATAATATACTATATTATAGCATTGTACCACACCGTTCCGAAAAAACATTACCTATTACTTATCAAGTAATGAATATTTACTTGAGTACTACAGCTCATTTATAGCTGTTCATATGTTTATAAATTAGGAAGTTATTACTATTTAGTTGTATATTCCGGATTTCTGTTTAATTAATCTTATTTAAAAACGTTACTTTGTAATTTGTGTTCTATAAATGGTGTACATTTTGTAGTATATAAGTACCTATAGGTGCTATATAGTGCTCACCTAACTTGTTTATGTTTATGTTCTATATTTTAATTTGTATGATAAAATATTTATAATTTATATTATATATTTTCCATACATAAATATATGTTCAGAATTTTCGATTTTATACTCGCGTCTTTTTGCGATTGCTGATTTGGAAACACTAGCTAAATCATACGAGTCTTCATTTTTATCCACAGGGGGTATGTAGTATGTTAAGAGTTTCAATATAATAAGATACAGGCATACATCACAGATTTAATCTGTGGATACAGATAAATAAATCATAATTAAAATTATACAACATGCAATAGGTACGTTCTAGTCTTTCTACATCATACATTGTAATCGACGTAATCTATCCACTACGGCGTTTGATGCTAATCGGCAATCGCTATTGTTTATTTTTATAGACCATATTATCTGTCAACTGTATTCTGTATATTATACTTATAGTATATCACGAGTATATAATTCGTTAAAACTTGTTCTAAAAAATTGTGTACATTTGATCTACTTTTAAAATCGCTATATATAGATCAACGTATGAGGAACGCGACAGAGGCGTCATAAATTTATATACCAGGGTGATGGCGAGATGGATCCGGTTAATACATATAACTATTAGTGTCCACAAAAATGTTTGGGAACAAATATTTTAATTTGTATGTAATATATTATTTGCCAAGTAAGTAGTAGATACAATTATTGTTCTGTGGTATTGTGATAATACTAAACATAATATTGTATCAAGTGACCAATTATGTTTTGAAATTTGTAAATAGATAAATGAGAATACCAGGCAATAATATAGGTAGGTACATCAACTATTACAGCGATAATAGTCGTTTACAATCGAAATAGGTAGTCGTTTTTTTTCTTTCAATCCAATATTATTGTTTATTTATTAAATATATTTTTATTAATTAATATGTAATAAACTAATATATAAATATATAATAATATTATATAATCATAATGATTAGAACATTTATTGTTTACTGCTTTGTACAAACATGATATAGTTGCATGGTTCCTAAAAATTTAACAGACATTGAATGTATTAAAAAAAAAAAATACATTTTCGAGGATTATTTCTGGATTTCTTCATGACCTTTATTTGTAACTATTGAATGTACGAATTACTTAAAACAACATACGTAATGACCTATATAATTCGTTTATGGCAAACTTCTAAAAAACTACTAAATGGGTTGGCCTTGTTATAATACTTGTTGCTCCGAGAAGAAGAAATAAGTATAAATGAGGTTATTGCAATAAATTTTGTTTAAAAAAAATCGATTTTATATTTTAAGTTTAAAAAAAGTTAGCAATTATTTTACTTTAATTTATTATATTTACTATCGTAAATTGGGCGGTGTGGGCATATAATATAAAATTTATATCAATAATTGAAGACTGCAGAATCAGTGACGCGCCGTAACGTCTGGTATTGGGTTTTTTACATGATCATAAATTAAACACTGCACCTAGCTACAATTTGGAAATCATTTTTTGTGGCCCCAATTCCGAGCAACGGCAACGGCAAATAACACTAGAAATTGACTGTTTGGTATCATTATTTATCAACAATTCATGAGGTATGTAGACAATATTGTTGGTAATACGCAATATTATACATTTATACGTCATATTTATATTAACTATAATATATGAAGTATTCAAGTATGATGTCCGTTATGCGTCTTAATATAAGTAGCCAAGTAGGTACTTATAGTACGCATTTGTAAGTTATATTGTACCAGGTAGGTAGGTACTTTAATATAATAATTAATAGTATATATCTATTGTAGCAATATTTATTTTAATTAAGTTCCCCTCACGCACGTCGATCTTCAATTATATAGGTATATGAATCTTGAATCACATCTTGTACTGACAACCGAGTTGCTGTGAGTATAGTGAGTACTGCAGACTACTGAGTATTGACTATAATATAGGTCTGAGATCGCAATCATCGCATCATCATTTATCACTCCGACGAAGTCAAGGGCAACCCATGGACGGCGGTGGGTTGGAGGGAATCGAAACGAGTGCGCAGTTGTCCTGCGTTGCCGACGCGGCAATAGCATTGTATATAATATTATTTTGTACATAAATAATGATTGTACAATTAAATTATATAGTATGCCCCAGAAGTCCGGTATTTATCATCATATGATTATCTCCATAGAAAATCAATATCTTTGTATTCGGGTTTTTTACAGTAATAACTTACTTTTTAATTAGCTTATTATTGCTGTAAGCTAATTCTAATATAATGAAATAAGATTCGCATTTTTTTTCAAAAATTCAAATTTCTTTTTAAGATGGCAATTTCCTTCATTATATTTTTAAAACCGCTTAAAAAACATTATTAAAATTGAGTAAAAATATAACAAGTTAAAGCAAATTAATTCGTTAACTTCGTAAGAATAATAATTATGATACCAAAACATGAATCTTATGACTTAAAAATCTATTTTTTTGACAATCTACTTGGCATCTATTTTGTTTTACATTTGGACAGTCATTTAAACGTTCTCAATACATTTTTACTAACCTAACTATTATTCTTAGGAATTTAACAATTTAATCTGCCTTGTCAATTTTTACTCAATTTCAATATTTATATTTTTTAAACGGTTTTAAAAAATTTGATCAAGAAAATAGACATCTTGAAAATTTAAACTAAAATGTTTTTAATCTTATCAATCTCATCTAGTTATAATTTCCATACTTATCATCTACTGTACAAAAATCTGCATTTCAATATTTTGATTTGCTGCGGATATAAGGGTGATACAAAACTTTTAGGACATACTGTATTATAAATATAAATAACATATAATAATATATTATGTACAGGAAAAATTGTAGGCACGCATCAAATAATTAATTTACTACTTTTGTGGTGCGCAATAGAACCGAGTTTTTCACTTGTCCACGGTGAACCAGTCCTGAATAATATTTAACAGGAAATATAAGGTAATAGGAATGCTGTTAATTAAACAGAAAATTTAAAAAATGTAAAAATACAACTATACTGAGTACTGACACGGCGACACTTCACGATTTTTCGTAACAAGTTACAATTAAAATCGAAGGTGCCAAAAAATATTTAATACTCCCGATTTCCAGTCAACTGGGTACCACGAATAATAATAGTGGGAATATAATTATTTTAATTTGAGATAGATAGTAACTAGAAAGGACCTAACAAAAAAAAGTATTACCTACAACTAGAATTACAAGTGTGTAGTGCAGGTACTGTATTATAGTTTCTGTAACACGATGAAATACAAAACTATCTTAAAACGTCGTGTATAATATTACGGCTGTATATAAAGTACATATAGTATATAGTATAAGACTACGTAGTTTTATATCATAATAATATGATCTAAGGACAGAAACTGTCTTCGGTGGTGTTTACAATCAACGGCATTAGTGCATGATTACCCACAGCTGATCTATGACTTATTATCTATATTCTATAGTATAGTTAAAAATAATATAATAATAGTCTGTGTCTCTGTGATTATACCTTATATTTTTTTATAGATATCTGTGGCATTAATAGGTACAGTCCAGTCGTGTCCACAGATATATATAAAAATATATAGTGTTCGAATCTCTGCGCGTTTCCAATATTTTTATTTTTATCAATTTCGTTGATAACGACGGAATATTGTGCGATCCGCGCACACAACTACTGTGAACGCACGCCAACGACCAACCACTCGCGGTGACGTCGATTCGAGGCAGTGGTCGGCGCATGAATCACCTCGCATCGTACTTTTCACCACTCCCACCTTTTCGCAACACCGTGTACCGCGTACGAATACCGGTAACTAATTCCGGTACCTCCGGTCTTCGTGTACTCACTACTCGTGTCTATTTCGATTTTCAGTATGACAGTCTGTATTTCTGCGATTCCGTTGGTCGCCGTTAACTCGCCGCCCGTTCCCGTTTAACGACATACATAGTTAACAATATTACTGCGACCCGTGCCTACTGATATTACGGCCAGAGCACCGTCCGTTCACTTGTCCGCCGTGTACCTGTGTAGTCGACATTCGATATCGTCGATAATATACAAATATTACTAAATATTTACACGTTACATTTTAGCAGGCGGTATTAGTGTACTTTTGTTTTACATACTCGTTTTTTCAACGTCGCACTTTCGCGTTTTGCACTCGACATCACTCGGCCGTGCCCCATACCGCGCAGTGTGTAATAGTTACCCGTAAGTCACGATGGCCGAAAAAGAAGTGAAAAAATACTCTATGGCCGAGGTCGTCGCAAATGCGAACGCTACGAACCCGTGGATCGTGATCAACGACTCCATATACGACGTCACAGAATTTCTAAACGACGTACGTCCGCCGCCGTTGTACTCGCGGCCAACCCGGTTACGGTACACGTCGTCTAGCCATCGGTTTTAATCCGTTATCTGGGTTTTTGTTTTTGATTACAGCATCCCGGTGGCGAAGAGGTTCTACTGGAACAAGCTGGCAAGGACGCGACCGAGGAGTTTGAAGACGTCGGACACTCCAGTGACGCACGCGAAGTCATGCAAAAATACAAGATTGGTGAACTTATAGAAGTAAGTGTCTAACCTAAACTAACCTTTATTGTTTTTGTATATCGCAGATATAATATTGTGCTGATTGGGGTAATGTCGGTTTCCACTTTGTGCGCACGGTCTTAATGTACACTCAGTACCTATCTAAATTGTGTTTTTTTTTGCTTTCGAGGACAAAATATTGTTGGTCGGTACCTATGCGCATTTATCATTTATTTTCCTTACTTATCTTGATTTCAAACACGGTGTTTGATTGGCTGTTTAATTATTAGTGGTCAAGGTTTGTTGATGTTGGTGTATATATTTGATTTATTATACCTATTCTATATATTGTGATGTATGCCAGAGGTTGTGCGATTTGTTCAATGTCATGTTATTAATTTCATCAATATGGACAGCTCTTTGTAATTTTGGGTGGGTATATAGGCAGTGACGTGCTGCACTTCTTCCCTTCACTTCTAATAACAAGTTTGTTTGAAGTAAAATAATGGGTTGGTCAATCAAATTGTGGTGTTGTATCACAAATAAAGAAAATTTGCGCCACCACTTATTTAAACAATGATAGGTTATATAGTTGTGTATTAGAATATATCTATGTGTTATACTACATTTTTAAATATTATATTTTTTAAATAATTAAACAGTCACAACCTACCTACTGTTATTTAAAAAAAATGTTTCAACAGATAAATTTCTATCTTAAATCTATATATCATTGTTTAGTTTTACGTAAATTACTTGAAATTATGTGTACCTAACTAGGACTTTTTTTCAATGTTTTTAAATAAGTTATTTGTAACATCTTAAAATAACTACATACTTAGAAATAACCAACTTAATTTGTCTACTAATGGCAAATACCTATAGGCTGTCAAAATATTGGACTCCATAGTCTATTAGTGTTAGGTAGGTACTTTAATATTAGCTTATTATGTTTATCATATTTAAAGTAAGTGGATTAGGTACTCCTGGTTTAAATGTATTTATTTTTTCAGTATAATTATTTTATTTTTCTAGTTGTAAGTAATAATATTTTTTGAAATTAGTTATTTATTTGTTTCATATTTATCAAATCATAGTTTATAATCTAAGAATATATCTATATTTTAATAAATAATACCTCTTTAATTGTTATGATTGGTTGAAATTACAATATGAACTATATTGTTTAATAATTATTTTTAATTTTTTAATTAAAGGAGGATAAAAGACAAAATAAGAAACCTGTGAAAAAACCAACACCTGTATCATCAAGTGCATCTGGAGATGATTTTAGGTTAGTAAGATGTGTTAAAAAAATTAATTTACGTATGTGTATTGTTTTATTAGTTTTTATTAGTTTATCAAGTTATTTTTTTATGAAATAATTATGAAAAAGAAATGTAAGTAGGTACCTCAATTATTTTTATAAATTAATAGGTATATACTTTATAGGTACACATTTGTTTACAAAACATGGTTTAAATTTATTTTCAACAAACCACATAATTTGTTGCTTTACTCGAGTAAAACTGAAGTTTAACTTGTTACCTAATTTTTCCTACAAAATAATGAACAAATATGTGTACATATCTCTAAAATTAAATTCATAATATTTTGTTCTATTATCATAAGTGATATGTGCTAAATTGAGGATTAGTTCAGCTTCTGTAATAAATACATATATGTATATGTAATTTTTTTATGAAATAATATCCTAATTTTTAATATTAAGAATAAAATATGTATTATAGTCTAAGAGAAACCATGATTAAGTTGTACTTCTCAGGACATAACATTTTTTTTTATTATACATATTTTTATTTCTAATTTAACTTATATAAGCTAAAATGATAAGAAAATAAAATTTATTTAATAAACTAAAGCTTACTATCAAAGTAAGTGGGATATAAACAACAATTTAATGTAATGATCTTGTTTTACCAGCATTGAATATAGTAGGTATATACTAAACTGAAAATATTTATACATTTTTACATAAAACATAAGTTGTACATATAAAAAATATGTCAATGCTATCCAACTATATTTTACTACTATACAAAAAGTTAACCAGTCAGTTTCTATGTAGTTTTCAAATATAATTATTTTTTTTATTATCCAGTCTATGATATTATATTACTCAGTACCTAAACTGTTTTTTTCTGTGTTTTACATAAATGTAAACTTAATTTAAAAATGGTATCGACCTTGCTCATTTACCATAAATTAGTAATTACTTATAGACTTTAGTTATTGCATTACACTTCATAATTCCTATGTTAACAATAACATTTCCTGTGGGCTGTGATATAGTTGTAGCTGCAATATTACCAACCTCTTAATTATTCAATTAATTTAGTCTTGGTTCATTATAATTTTTTAGTTTTTAGCACAATATATATCCAATAGCATTATGATAGAAATTAAAGATTGTGATTTTTTAAAATTGCTATGTTATTTAATAATTGAGATGGATAACTTATTAGTTATTAGGTACATATTTTTTTTTCATCTAGTATATAATATTATGGTTATGAATGGTTATGACTTATGATTATGTAAGAAAAAGTTTTTTTAATTTATTTTCATGAAAAAAAAATGATAAAAGATATCTAAATATATTTTATGTATGTATACCTATATATTCATTTTATTTTTTTACTTCAGTTTGTCTGAGTTAATATTTTAAGTGCATGTCGGTTTATTGTGTTATTAACTTAATAGTATTTAGAATTGTATTGTATTAATATGTTATAATATATGTACTGCTACATATTTTATTTGCAATAGATAAGTTAAAAATATTTATTAAAAAATTAATGTTAGATTTATTGAAATAAAATTATATTCATACATATGTTGTCATTTTACTCTAATCGTTTTAAGACCTGGTGAATAATGCATGTTTTTTTTTTTATTTTTTTAGTCTTTGGAAATCATGGTTGCTGCCTTTGACGATGGGAGTACTTGCTATCTTTGTTTACCGATACTTTATTGCTTCATAAAAGATTAAAGTAATTTAAGTTAATCATAAAGTTATTATTGTCAACCAAAGTTCTGGGTTAACTCACAAATATTGTCTTTAAGTCCCTTTTGTGTATTTTGTCAGTGGTCAATCATTAAACTACATTCCACTCTATGTTTACTGTTTACATAATGTTTTCATTAATACAATCACAAAACAAGAAAGATTTGTATAGTTTAAAAACTATTAAAACTAAATATTACAATTAATATGACCGATTAAACATAAATATAGTGGCTAGACATGGTAGAAATTAGTAATTCTTGGAATTTAGTATTATTAATGTTTGAATTTTCAAAAATATATATTCATACATACAAAAACTACTGTTTGTGTTTTTAAATATCTACAGTAATAATATATATATTACTATTAATAACCATCAACAATTTTATATTTGATTTAAGATAAGTTTTAAGTTATAGTTAGCTATGTAATTTTACTAGATCTTGATAATTAAAAAAGATTGGTGTTTTAAGAAGAAAACCAGGGTTGTCAAAGTCATAATTAAACCAAGACAACCCTTAAAGGTTTAAGGCTGGATATAATATATAAATTGATCAACTGTTCAAATTATTTAAATATTTTAGGGTTGATTACTTATTAATAAATTTAATTTATTATAATATAGGGATCAGAGATTTGCACCAATAGGGGTGTTAATAATATATTTAAAACTATTTTGGTTTCCACTATAGTTTATGTGAAACTTGTTAATTCAATTATTAAATTTAATTTAAATTCTATGAAGAGATTCTTATAATCATTTTTATTATTTTAGTTCTGGGTTTTCAGTTTTTAGTATAGAAAGGATGGAGCAATAGATGAAGTTCTGTTTTCCAAAAATGTTTAACTAAGGACCAGTAAGTAAGTAGATTCTTAGTCTGAGCTTATAACATTCCGGTATTTAATGGAAAATTCAAGGTTTCATTCTTATGAACTAAATTTATTGTATTCATCCCTCATTTTAAAATGTAGTAATAGTATTTTAATATTATTTAAAATGTTAAGAGTAAAATATTGGATTGTTGGAGTGTAAACAAATGGTAAAAAGGTTTTTTAAGTAACATAAGTTTAAATTTGAAGTTTGTTAAAATTTAAATAGGGTTGCAGTTGTACATAGCAAAATGTATTTGTCAAGTAAGAACAACATTTTCATCCACGTAATGTTTCTAATTTAATTTTGACTCACAAACTACACTTATAAAGACTATAAATTATAATGTAAAAACAATGAATTGGCAAGCAAATGGGATTATAGTGAACAATAAAAAAAAAAAAACTAATTAATTATGACTACATTTTCTTGTTTACTGTACCAAAACTAAAATATAATTAAAAAATTTTAAGTTTTCTTTTCATAGGGTAATTTGTTTACTTTCCTAATGGGTCATGAGGTGTTATTAAAAAGTCCCTCCCGTAGTTTCAAAAAAATATTTCCTTAGATACCTCTCAAGATTATCTAACATTTTAAACATTATTTCAAATTGCTTTCAATTTTATAAACAATCGAACCACTACCTATATACCTACATGTGTGATTTTTAAAATTATGAAATCATTAGAATTTGTAGCTAGTACGTAAGTACTAAGTAGGTAGGTACTTACCTGCACATACAAACAGAAAAACCATAAAATATCAAAGGTAGTGTTTAAAAATTAAAAATTTTAATTCCAATCAGAGTTGAAAAATATGTAAGTAATACTTGATAAAATTAAATATAAGTAGCATAAATAATACATATTTAGTTAACTAGAGTACGGATTTTTAGGTTCAACAAATTGAAAAATAATGGTAATATTCTCTAAAAAAAAAACTAAAAATATTCTTCTTTTATTCTTTCAAAAATGAGTATAATTTGTACTTTCAAATTGTTATTATGTTTACTGAATTAAAATGTAAGGTTTGAAATTTTTTTTAAATAAACCAGTAATAATATAATATTATTATTTATCGTTCTAAATCTTTTGCTCAAACAAAATGTGTTGCCCGGCGAATTATATAGGCAAAATAGGTACATTACTGATGAGTTCATAGTTAGGTTAGGTTTTTGTCCATAGTTACATTTTAACTTAATACAAGGATTTCGGATACTCGAAAAATGATTGCGCACAATCCAAGACAGCCCGTACCAAGCCGTTATCACCTTAATCCACATTTCTTTGCTCCATTAACTGTGTGCGAGAAATAACCACTTTCTCCTGGTGAACGGAGTATAATATAGTTATGAATGTATGATAAATGTAGGTATCCGATATTGTATATGCAGTCAAATACGAGAATATCTGAACGCAACAAAAAATCGATAAGACTACGTGTGTCAGGTGTGTGAAAAATGTTTAAATTAAAACAGAATGTGCTACAAATTATGTTAATTCCAAGATAATAAAATTAAAATGTCAATTACATCTAAGAATAGACAATGATTTTTACAGTTAGAAGAAATTTCGACGTATTCACATGGTTTATTTGCTTGTTTAGACTAACTTAATATTATATTTTATACTTCAAAAAGGTCCATTACCCAGAAAACGTTAAGAACATCTGGAGGACTCTAGTCTCTAAATAAACCTGTCAGGTATGAGGTATACGAGAATCGTAGAACTGAAGTAGACCCAGGAATTAAGACGGTTTCGTGTTTACCATCCGGAGGGTTTATACAATCGCCCCTGCATTTGTTAGAAGCTACTCGCTAATCTCCGTAACCACTTAACCTGCAATTTATTGGCATCAAATTTCTTGAGACTGGCTTGGCAGTATTTATACCTTCGTTTTTCAACCTATATAGGAATTATAAGTTGATGTAGGGTTGCTCACACTGGAATTTCGTTTTGGATCTCTAAAATTGAATATTTTTTTTATTAAAGCATATGGTTGGCAGAGTTGCCATTGGTTGCAGAAATAAAAAAGTGTTGTATATAATCTAGATAACCTAGATGGGTAACAGCAAATTGCGGATTGGATTTAGCAATTGGTATATTTTTATAAAGTGGTTTTAACTACTCACTCTTTAAACTTTTCTGATATTCATGTTACAGCAATTGAGCAATTTCTAAGATTTTTAGAACCAATCGTGTAGTTTTGAGTACATAAGCTAAACGAACATAAATTTGGTTTTAAGCTAGTTCCTTTAATCGAGGCCATGTAAAACGTGACTATTTGCATGCTTGTACCTGATTTGCCACAGTAACGTCAGTAACCAATGGAAATCAAAAAAAGGATTCAGTTTCCACAATGAATCTCAAAATCCTTGTTTGAGGACAAAGGGCTGAACTACTGAGTATTGGGTAAATGTATGTCTGCGTAATAATAATCATGGTTGGGATTTTATTGCACATTAACACTTAAAATTGCATAAATATGCACTATAATATAAACTTAAATATTACTAAATATGCAAAAGAACAACAAATTATGTCAACATATAGTGTAGTTACTAGTAAGTATGATACTGACTTGGAAAATTGTTTGAAGTTAATAGTTAATAGTGTTGATAGTTGATACGTATTATTGCTACACTTTGATAACTACAATATTGTACCTATTATATCTTCATTTTTCATCCACTGAGTTCCAGGCTCCAGCTGCATATAAACACTTGTATTTATTCGAATCTAGCCTATTTAGATCTCTGTATATGTTATGACTTATGGGTATATAAGTTGTATTATTATTAAAAATATATACGTACGTGATAAGTATTTTCATATAATAGGTACTTAAACATATTAACATTTATACAATTTTAAATCGCTTATGAAAATATTAATTTATTACGTATTACGATACAACGAAAAAATGATATTAAGGATTTATAGTGTATGGGTATTCGAATACTACCTATAAAATATTATAAAATTTTGCAGCAGAGCGCTAGGGCCGCCTATGCTTTCCTGTTAAACGTACTTTGATTATGGATGTATTTTTGTAAAATAAATATCTACACATTTGTTCTATTCCTATATTATTATAAAATACAGAAAAAAGGTAGTTAAATAATTTCAAAGGTAGTTCTTAATGATTTCTAAAAAAATGTGAACAAAGAATAAAAAAATATATATAGAATAACACACTCCTATGCAAAATAGTACTTTTTCAAAATGTACTATTTCCTTAAATTATGTTAAGTTGTACTATTGCAGAATGGAAGTATAGTACGTTTTATAATAATCAATTAACTTAGACATTACATTTAGGGCTTTACACTTCAATATAATACTTAGGGGACATAACAACAATGTTTATTACAATTTTATCATTTTTTTGGTAAAATTACAATATCTCTAAACTAGTTCAGTAGTAATAGTTTGTAAGTTGTAACAAAAATCCATAAAAAATAAAAAATGTGAAAATGGAAATAGTAGTTATGGATTGTTTGATCAATTTACAATGATGTGTGTTTATTTTTTTTCAGCATCTTTTCAGGTAGGAAAGTGAATCTAGTTGGTGCTTTTGTGGGTCAAAAGTGAAAATTCTCAAGATAAAACACAAACTCAGTTTTTGAAAAAATCGATTTTATTTTTTGGTTTATTGTCAAAAAAAATAACCGTAAGGAAGTTGATAGGTATTAGGTACATGAATATTTTCAAAATATTTTGGAATTTTTAGAATTATATAAGGGTATAAGAAAATTTCGATTCATATTAGTTATTTCATAATGTTATTATCGACAAAAAATTTTTTATTCTCTCAATTGACTTGAAAATTTAATACATTAGGTTCCTCATAAATTGTTGTTAGTGGCAATTCTGATAGAAAAATACTAAATCATCATTAATACTATTAATAGAGTATCAATAATATTCTATCGTTTGGTAATTTTGACATTATACAATATTGTAGGCATGTAATACACATTATTTACATCATTTTATATTTATTAGTATATAATAGTATATTTATATACATATAGGTATCTAAAATTTGGTAGGTACTCTTCGATACTAATACTACCTACAGGCTACTACAGTACAAAATGTAAATTAATATCTAAAAAAAACACCAAATTTTTCTTTTTATCGTCCTTTTTTATGACTCCTTTAAATTTATAGACGCCCAAAGGCACTTGCCCCATTAATCCCCCTCCTTGGGAACGCCATGCATCTAATTGTTCTTCATTATTAATTATCTGTGTACTATACTACAACTATGGTTGTATTACCTTGAATCATGTACAAGAACGTTATCCAAGATTATAACATGGACGTATATAAGGTCAGATTAGGTCCTATAAACGTCTCTGAATTATGTATAATATATTAGAATATTATAGAGTATTAGTGTATTGCCATCATGCAATCCTGTAGTATTACTTTATGATAG